GTCGTTTTTGTTCGTGATATAAGTCTTCAACGCGATGTCGCGGGTTTATATCCTAGGGTTATGTTTCCCAGTGAATTAGTCTTTAACTATTCTTGCACGTATGAATCCAGTATGGCTCGGTGGAAGGAAGTTTCATTAAAAAAGTCATGGTTATACAATTAAATATAAATTTGGATTTGTCATATGTCTGATCACACATTATTGCAATTTTCAAAGCAATGTCTGAAATGATAGTCATTATCATATTACCCAATTCCTATAGGTAGACTATGAAGTCACCACAATTAGTTACGTTGCATAGTTGTTGTATTCTCCTTTAATATGGTTTTTATTATAATATGGGTATTTTAATTTTTCCCGCTGTTTACAATCCTTATTTAGCAGTTACATAAAATTTTGCTGCAATGAATCTTTTCTTCACTGACGTACATCGTGTGACTGGTGCCTTGACGTTATTTGACGACACGATCGTTATCTGATACTTTCTAATGTTGAAAAAAAATTTTGAACTTGTCAAAATTCTGATCAAGTTCAACTAAGCTATTTATTATCGTTCATAACATCTGTTTTTTTTTCAATTGCCATACGCAACAAACTTGAACATGGAATAAAAGTTTCATATTCAGGATCATGTATACAGTGGTTTAGAAACTTTGATTCATCAGTATAAAACACGAAAAAACATTGATAACTTTTTATTATCGTTAAATTCAAGTACTAATCAAAATAAATGATTTGTAATAAAATTTATTTGAAAACAACAACTTTATAGAGAAATTCAAGTTCACGGTACTTTTAGTTGCAGAATTTCAACTGTACAATGTCATCACATGCGAACGACATCTCATTCGCAACATACCGATCCAATAAACGGTTATATATAAATATAAAACATAACTACAATTAAGATAGGTATAATTTTCAACTACTGCGAGGATCTAAATAAGTCCCACAAATTTTATATTCATTTTTATTTGGCTTTTATTCTTTGTTCTTACGATGAACAACTATGCAATGTTCAGCAAAAAATAACAGTGTTGGAAATTCTGTTATTATCAAATTTTGAGTTTTGAATTCTAGCCATAATTTTGCTGAAGCAAAAAATTACAATGCCCTTTCTCAAAAGGTCACGTGGTCCTTTGTAACCGAGAAACGTTATGACGTCATTGGTCATGAAAGTAAACTTAAATTACTTTATGATGACTATATTTCGTAATCAGAATATTTCACGAACGTATAACATCATGAACAAACATTTTTTATGGCGAATTCATAAATCAGGGTATGATACTGGTTGGGAAAATAAATCACCTGCTACGACAATTCACAAATCTTGTTGCTGAAACTGCCGTAAATATATTTCTATAACGTTTTAATGAAGCTATGTCCGGCATTTGCAATACATATGCATTATTGTCATCATTAATATTTTGTGCGGTAACAGAGTCAGTATCCTACTCAAACGCTCAACCGTTATTTGTAATTATTAACAAGTTTGTAATTAATAATAAGGAGTAAGAAGACCAATTATTATTTATTCAATTAAACTAACAAATAGTTTGTAATGGGATTGCATTCTCAAGGCAATCACGAAATTAAAAAACTCAGCAAGTCCATCCCAATTTATAACTTACTTCACAGAGTATCAGATATTTTATAACCCAGTAGCAAATACAGTGTTGACGCTTCATCATTTGGTCAAACCGCTTGAGTGCGGGACAGGTGAGACACAACATTTTGAGACATCCCTTTCGGACTAGTCGCACTGTACTTGCTCGGATACACGCTTTTTCATTGACACAATTGAAAAAGTAATGCTAGTAACTTCATAAAATCAGTGAAATTACAACTTTTTCAACTATATTGCAAATGCTAATCAGTCTTTAATCGAAATAGGTTAACTGGTGAAAGAGGCGTGTCCGCGCACGGGTATCCAGGTTACGCCGATACGAATAAAAACATCAGTCAAGTAATGTATATATTGCGTGAGAAATTGATTTTATAATAATTTTTAGTTGTATTATACCTTCGCTAAAAGACAAAATCCGGCACGCGACGAATACGTAGTTTGAACGTAGAAGACAAACATAACCGAGAACTCGTGCAAGGTTCAAAATTGACTGAGAAAACATTGGATACGTTGGAATGTAGTGTAGCACAATCAAATGATCAGGATGTGAAATAAAAGAGAATAAGGTAAGCAATGTCATGCCATGGCCAGTATCCACGTTACAAGTCAATGCTTTTTCATATTGTTCACGGAAGGTCAGCATTTAAAAGCAAATTTATTGGTGACTATTTTTCGAAAAAATTATACTCCGCACGGTATTGGAATATACGCCAATTCAGTGAATAACTTAAACTCACAAATTGGTATCAAAACATTTTATTACCTATTATTCGTAATTACTTGTTACGTACGGTATTTAATGAACAGCACGTATTCACGAATCACGATAAAAAGCCCAGAACAATATTGATGATGGAAATAATCGACGAACACAGATTAATATATCCTATTTCAATTCTCACAGGAGAAGCTATCTGAGCGCAGCCTCGACTGTTAAACATTGTTTAGTAATAATACTTTTTGTTACTAATCACTAAAAATAATAGACACTCCCTTGACAATTATTACATTAAAACCGCAATTATTACAAATGGAGCTTCTGGAAGTTACGCAAGAAATAATGAATCATCTATTTGTTTAGGAGACACTGTCAATGGTGGCTTCATCACGGTTAACTTTTTTTTGTCTAACCATGTTAGCACCATTGAAATATTAATGTATAATTCAAAACTGATATTGGCTATCAACCTATGCTCTGATTACCAGCCTCACGCCTTAACCCCACCCATCTAATCAAACAACTCACCAATGGTCTAATAAGCTACCACATATAGAATATAATAATATATAGTTATATACTGTAAAATTATAGTAAACTTACTATACTTATTTATTTAGGCTCCCAATCGCCCCTATTTAACCACAGTATACCAAACCAATCGAAATTTGAATGTCATGCTTTATCATGGTGGAATTTTTGATAATGCACCCTAGCCACATTTAAACAATAGCTCCCAATTTAGACCGCTTTTTTATCTGACGTATATCAAGATCAAATTCCTATGATTTGCGGTGAAAAAAGCAAACACTGTTTGACAATAAAAATGACTCGATCAATTCTCTCAATAGAAGCATATAACAAAATATTGTGGTGTTGCCATGACGGACATGCTTGGCATATTTAAGGTGAAGCACATTGATTTGATTACTAAATAATTGTATTTGCGCATTCTTCGATTATTTGTTCATTACAAATTAATATCCACCACAGATAAATATCTGACATCTGCTTTCATGTCACGTTTACCACAATCCCTCATTGTTTCCTCTTGCTTTCGTAACCACCCCACTTCTGCCCCCCATTTTACAGACACTTGGAGATAACCATTTACTAGTTTCTTTAAATGTAACCCTAAGTGATATTGTATACTATATATATACACTGTTAAATTTAAATCTTTTCAATGAAGTGTGGTTGTGAGTACTGAATACTCATACAAATTTATCAAATTTGTCGTCATGGAAACACTACCTGCTTATAAACCGTTTTGTTGTTATTCCACCAAAAAAATCGATAAACACAATGTCCAGTTCAACTCGTGGTCAACGCAAGGTACGTACTCATATGAAAACAAATGATTACCAATACCACGATATGAACTTGTTACTCTTAGAGTAGATAATGCATCTATGACTGTCGACGTTCTTCTTGAACAATTTATTCACGGATGACCGAAAGAAGATATACCGCGTGGTCATCTTTAGTCATCGATGGACGGAGCGCCGTAATATAAGTATAAAAGTCGTTGAATCATTTTGCAGCCTCATTATTTTCTTAAGCTTATTCCGAGTGACATGAGGATAGACTTTAATGTTGTGGCGCAATGAATTTATATTTTTGACAAGATGTGATTGACGGAGCGGCATTTAGCTTAGCAGATAATGTAGGCCTTTTGTTGATTAGGACTAAATTACAATAAGATCGACTAAAATCATTATTTGAGATGTGCCGTGCATATGTATGTTACCAATCATATATAGATGGAGGGATTTAAGCGCACATAGTGCTCATAGTTTAACATAATTGAAGTGTCGAAATATTCGAACTATTTCCGATGAAATATCGGAATATTTTAAATATAAATCAGTATTCGTCTTCAAAAAAATTCCTGTCACCCGCAGAGAAATATAACGAAATTCCATCGCCCCTGCTATGAATTGACAGCCATAAGGCGCCAGTTTTAATATCCAGCCCTCCGTAAATAATCTTTGGCTGTATTTGTGGTCAAAATGGAATTTAAATAACTGTGTGCAAATAGTTTTGCTCGAACTCTGGGGAATAACAATGGATATCATTTCTAACGGAAGTAGAAATCGAAATATCAACTTCGCGTAAACTACTTTTTATAATTTTAAAAACGGCATGCGATTGTGACTAAAACAATGCCAGTGCAACAAGCTGTTTTGGTGGAAGACGAAACTGTGATGATGTTAGCAATTTTATTTTGCTTGCTTGAATTTCAATACTCTTTCGCATAAATCTGAGAAATCAAATATTCCAATTTGCATCAAATCTGATCCACGTGGCGAAGATTATACCTCTTATTATCAGTAATGTAGGTATCTCAATTTGATGTTTAAATGACGTTCCCTATTCCCTAATATGGAATGTTAAAATCACCGCCAGTTTGTTTTATACACAACCATCTCCAGCTGTATTGAAAATGGCGTTTTGTCCTCACTGACAATAGCATACCAGACACCTTATAAACGAGTTCCCGACAGTAGAATAATTCTGAACCATCGAGCCGTTTTATATGAAGAGGAACAAACGTTGTCGCTTTTTACGTCCGTTCGCATACTCTCGCTTTTAAAGGCTCGTTTGCCAAATAACTGGCACTTGTGCTCCGGTTTCTCGAGCCGTAGGGTATATATGTGTGTTTGAGAAGATAGATAGATCGTTTATATTGATATGCTGTTTGCTCTAAATATTGAAAAATTTTGATCGCTGCGCTGGTAATCTCAAGTAATCAGATTCAGTGCAAAGTCAGCTTAATGCAGGAACACCTTGATTCATCGGGGTTCGGCAAAGCGGCTATGAGTATCGCACTCATAAATTCAGCATGGACTGCAGGTAAATGTTAATAGATTCCCGACAATTTCGGTTCTAACCATATTTGTCGTTTTAAAATAGCGGCAATGCAGTGAACTCTTTCAAGGAAGGTCAGTTATTTTGATCGCATATGTATTCTCAAGTCGAATTGTTGAATTTGAAAGCGCTATGGCGGTATGTAGTCTAACAAAGATTAACCTCTGCTTTTCCGTACGTCAGTTAGACTGACAAACAGTGAAGTTTAGGGGTGCTGACGTCAAACATGCACCGTAAACCAAACTTCTATTCTTGTAGGTGTGGGTGTAAAGTTTGTTTATTTTTATAAACAAAAATTATATCCAATTAACTTATATACTGGTATTTTCTATATTTTAGCGTCAAAATATATTATAAGTCACCAACGTAACCCTGTAACCTAACAACTTCAGCTCAACTTGTTTGGACTATTCACTGAAAATCAAATATTCAAGAGATACTGATATATTGTTGCTTAGCCTATATCATTATTACAACTGCCAATCTAATTGAAAATTACACGGATTGCTGCAACTTGATAAACTAAGCGACCTTGTTGGATAATACGACACTGGAAATGAAGACTGCGATGCTTCTATTGCTTTTAGCTGTCCTGTGCAGCACGTCTATTGGACGGACATTACATGAGCGGAAACGAAGAGTAGCAGGTATTGGTAAGTAACAACTAATTGTAACTTTACGTATTGGATATTTGTATGCTTGAATTTTGTGGGGGATGGCACTGAACTAACCTTTCATCATATGGTAACAAACCTTGTAGAAAAGAAATTAGTACTAAAGGGAAAAGCTGGATACGTCCACGGTGTTAATCTACTTCCGCTGGTCCCATTGGGGCGGAGGGGGCAAATTATATGAAGGCCTAAACGTTACACAAGATAGAACAAGCAAAGTGTCAATTTAGTGGTTGCTAGGCGTGCGTTTAATATTTATTTACCATCCGTGGGAAAATCTCTGATTTGGCGACTCTCGAGACTGTTGAAGTGGCGCCGACATGTCATAAGTCGCCCGTACAAAGTACTTTTATCTTATCATATTTATATGAAAGTATGATCCCTGTTTGGCAATTAAAAATGGGGTCGAGTCTCTCGCAAAATGAGACGTTTTAAAATATTTACTTGCTGTGTAGCAAGACTATCCAGTCGTGATTTTGGAAATAAAGATTTTAATTTTAACCGAGGCATGGAATTCCTTCAGAAGGCTGAATCACGCTGACGTTTTCATAAGAAAATTCTTTCAATAATATGACCATCATAATCCTTTGTTTTGGTATTTACTTGAAAACTTTTTATATCGACGACATTATTGGATATTATGTTTTTATATAGATACATATAAAGGTATGACAAAATTCATGCAAGTTTAAAATTTTCGAAAGCCGGGATGTCAATTGCGTCGCGAAAAATAAATATTCCATATTCTCGGCAATGGTTTTAGTGCCTGAACTTAGTATATTGTCTAACTTAAGTACTGATTTCAATTATCTTATGCAAGTTACTGTGAATTATAGAAGCGCATATTCACGACGCGATTACCTTTGGCTCGATCTATAGATGTTGTGATTTTGAAGTCAATCACAACATTATTAGAACGGTTCTTTGATAATAGGACCTCCTGCATTATTGCTATCAAATCGTGTGGTTTTGAATTATCTGACAGGAGTAGACTCAGCTTCAGAAACTTCGTAATTGTGTAATGATTTAGGTAAACTAAACAGTGCTCAACATTATTTGTTGCACACACTTATAATCTACTAATAATAATTCCTTGTGGACTATTCACCGGTACCGACTTAACCACAAGTACTTATTTTTATGTTTCAGAATACGACACTTATCTGGACAAGGACCCAGCTAACGACGACGATTACTACGAATACGATGAATATGATATTGAAGAAGATGACCTCTTCTCTTGTTTTACCGGCGGAGAACAAGTTCCGCATTTTCTCATGTGTGATGGATATAAAGATTGCACCGACGGGTCAGATGAAATCCCGGCAAATTGCGAAGGTATGTTGTTTATACTTAAAATTCAAAAAAAAATATTTGAGATTGATTTCATTTGAGCCGGGCGGAGAGTATGAAGCAGTCATGTGTAAAAGATGTTATTCAATAATCCAGCACGCCTTGACAAACACTGTTTATTTATCAATATGTGAAAGCGTGCGGATATACAAGTAATTTATATTGTTACATCAGAGCAAATGCACAATGTCTAAAAGTAGAACTTACGGTCTTGCCATTAACCCGGTTTGAATTGATATAAAAAAAAATTAAGTGGTAATAACTTATTATTACACAATTTCAACTAATCTGTCTATGAATAAAAAGAATGAGTCTTGCTTTCTCAGTTTCAATAAAAAAAAATTGGATTTACACAACAAAATTCTAGCGCATTAAATCATCGGTGTTTAGCACCACAGGACGTTTATTATTCCAAATCAAATTCGTCGAAATCACCGAAAAAGGGGAGAGCCAGTTTGTTGATAACTATAATAGAGGTTATATTCACGGTTTAAAAATATACCATCAATTTGTATGGTATTTTTTGTTTCTTAAATTGGACTTTGCCAAACAGGCGTGCCGTTCCGTTACCTAGACGTATTTACCTTTCGAGACGGCTGACGCTATGAGCGTGGGCGACTGGGTGTCTTGTCTCGTTCCAAAAGTAATCTGCTCCCTGAGTTCATGATACAATAGGTGTGCTTAGTGGCCCGTGATAAAGCGAATGTTTTTCGCTGAATAGGCACTTTAACGTGTAAAGTGTTACAATGTAAAATACAATTTGCTTTCGTGTTATGAACAGAAAATTCGGTCTGTTGAAAGCCATGTCCATATGAGCGCACAAAAATAGCAAGCACGTTTTTGTCTCCTAGAAGTAATTCTTAGACAATGCTCCATTTGGGCAATTAATACGCCTACAGTTTTTTAAAGTAAATTTAAGAATCCATCAGTTAGCATCAATATGATGTTTTAGCAACTCCCAAAACGCAATGATGAAATAATACAAGCTGTCAGGGGTAATTGTTTTATTGGGCGAACAGGGTCACAGACAATATCAACCGACTGTTGTGATAGGAAACCTTGTCTAAGTTCAGTGCAAATTTGCAAAATACAATTTTTTACCGTTGACTGCCCAAAGATGGCCGGTGCTCAAAACGTTTGGATTGCGTTTGGTTGAAGGTAATTTTTGAGCTTCATTGCCGCTCTGCACAAATATGTATATTAGTTAATCATAAACCCGATTGTCTATTTTTATTTCAATGGACTTACTGAAGTATGTTATACTTACAGTTCTGCGGGACATCATTTTGAAAAATCAACATTATATGGCGCAACCGCTATTTACACACAACTTGAATCTTACTGTTTTTTTCTTTTTATAGAGCTTGGAATCTCGACGCCACCTACCTCCACCACAAGTACAACAACAACCACGACCACGACGCCCACAACAACTACTACCACTGCAACGACAACAACCACTACTGCTTCCTTACCACCAGTGGAACCAAATGTAAGAAAACCGGAGGATTATGGTGATTATGAAGATGCTTGTACTGAAGAAGAGTTTCAATGTCAATCGGATTTATCTATTTGTCTTCCACAAACTCAAGTTTGCGATGGAATACACGATTGCCCAGATAAAGAAGATGAAGCTAATTGTACCGGTAAGTTTTAGATTTGATCAATATTTGATCCCCAAAATATTTTTATGGCAAACCACTGTTGCTGCTGCTTCGAATCAATTGGTATGTCTTGAGAATCAATTTTTCAATCTAAGTCCGTAATGTGAAAGGAGAAAAAACTTGTACAAACGGGAACAATTTAGACAAAGAGCTAGACTATATGAAGTACACTTGCACATTATGACGTATATCTTGCTTGTTTTTGTGTATTTATTTGATTACGAAAATCTACTTGTATACATTTTGTATGATAAAACGCGTCGGTTGCTTATTGCGATGGTCATTCGCTTCGAACGGTCAGACTCAACGGTAGATTTAAAGGCTTAGCGTTAGAAGCGTAGTGTAAATTCCAATTTGCCGCAAGACAATCAGTCCTAAAGAAACAATGAAAGTGGCCAAAACTTAAACTGACGAATGAATGAATATGGAATTGAAAGAAAATAAATATTACAGGTGAGACACCATGTTCCTGACTTGGGATTGTGATGCACGTGATCTATTCTATCAAATAACTCTACTAATCATCTTTCCATTCTGGTATTAACCAAATTCCAGTATTCTTTTGTAATTATTCGACATAGGTAACGTAATATGCAAACTAACAATCAGATTAAACTCTTTTGTCGTAATCAAGGAGGAAAATCCACAGTAATCAATTTTTTGCACTCTATCTTTCTTTCTCTATTTTCTGTTTCTTCTCTTCTTTTTTTGTTCTCTCAATTAACAACAAATTAATCTTCTTGGTTCTAACATATATACTTCCTTCAATCCCATGTTCATCGTCAATCTGCTGGCCACTTTCGCAATCTACTTTGACAATCGAGCATTTCGACCCATTTTAGTCGAAAGCGCTGTAACATCCTTAATCCATTTTGTATAATCCGTGTCTGGATCACCCGCGATCCGGATTGCGAATCAATTTCCGCGGGTTCTTGTTAGTATTCCACGCGATTTCGATTGCTTATGTTCTTTTATTTGTTAGGATAGGATATATTTTTATTTGAGCATGGGTTTTTTAGTTGTTTTGATCTCAGCAAATAACTTTTATATTCCTATTTACAGAATTGCACTTCGAATCAATTCCTGTTATTCCACATATGAGACCAGTTTTTGAAGGAGGCCTCGATTTTGATACTTTCGACATTGATCACACACCATCGAAAGATATCAAGGCGGCCCCTAACGACATTGACTACATTTACTATATCGATAACAGGAACGGCGTAGCGATCAGTCTACCTGATGTACTTAACGGTGCAGACGACCAACAAAAAGCGGAACCCACTAGCTTCAAACCGCCGGTGGTGATTATGAAACCTCCCCCACAAAAGCCAGATGTTCCTATTTTGATTCCATCTGAAAAACAGGAAAATAATGCGAATGACTTGGCATTAGAATCTGATTATGACTACATAATGTTGGGAGACGAGGACGACATAAGGAGACGTTTACTCGAGAAGGTGCCGGGGACCGAAACAACTAAATCAAATGACACAGATAATCACGACGTCTCCGTTTTAAAAGACGGTGAAATCGAAATAAATCACAATACTGGAGAAATTATTTTATTTGAAAATGGCGAAGTAATTCCACTTTCGTCCGAACCAGCTGAAGCTAAACGAGAAGAAAGTTTGTTAACGACTGTCGAGCCAAAAATCATTTCACCCGAGCACACAACAAAAAGTACAACAGTAGCAATGTCGACTACATCACAAAGTGACGATAACGAAACTTTTAAATTAAAAAAGAAAATTGAGAAACAGCGGAAAAAATTCCGCGGAATCGTTGCCCAACTTTTACACCAAATGGGAAAACTGGTTGAAACCGGAGCAGACTCTGAACCGGACAATACAATTCAAACAAATATAAACATTAATGTTGGAACAGGAATAGACTTATCATCAGCTGGTAGTTTGTATTCAAGACTTTTATCACAATCATCTTTTCCTAATTCACCAAGATTAAGAATAAGTGTGGATGTACAATTATAAAACTTCTTTTAGACGTCTGATAGGCGCACTGTCGTAGGATAAACTGCGCATGTGGTCTGTTTGGCTCGGGTTTTCCTACATCGTTTCTTCAATACCTCAAAGTTTATAAATTTATTTGAAATATCTCACGGGTTTCTTACGCTATTTTCAGTAGTTGGGCGGTTAAAAATAGTTGCAAATAATTGTACGCGAGTAAGCATTTGGTCGAAATACCAATTTTACGCCTCGAAAGTTTGCATATCAATCATATTTTATTTATTTCTATGAAACTTTACTGTTATTTTGTTATACATCACATTTTATACTTGATTTTAAGCATGAAGTATTATTTTTTTATTTAGTACGACGTTGAAAACGAAACACCGATAATGCATTTTAGTACTAAAACGCATAGCATGTTAGGCACTAAGAGGTTTAATAAATGCAATTAAGCATGAAAATGGGTTTGGTACATTTGGGCACATTACCCAAAAGTGGAAAATAACATTTTCCCAAATGACTTTGACTCATACAAGCAATGGGTCATATAACAATGATTCAGTGGTATCACTCATCGCCCAATTTACAAAACTAGCTTTAAATTTTACACGCAAACGCAAATTGCGGTGTTCTTTTTTCAGCGTTGATTAAGTAGTTAGAACGGCGGTTAGTTGTGACTATACCGTAAATAACCAATGACTTTAATTGATATCAATAAGACTGGTGTTCATTCATCACTTGCGAAATGTTATTCCCATAAGAATATTTTGGAGGTTATTTTTGAACTGTGAGGTACCAAGTTTAACCAGGCTATTTTGTTTATATATAGCTGGTATAGATCATTATCGACACCAATCTATGACTGAAAATGAGCGATTTATTGCACCAAACAAAATTTATTTCGCTTTCAAAAAATATAAAATGTCCTGAAACAAAAATTGTGATTTGTATTCCGATACTTTATGTGCTGTTGCCAAACCGTTTGTTTTTTGTTACAAAATCTATCAAAAGTACAGCTAAATACCTACCTCCGAGCATGGCTACGTTGATTTAGTATACATTAAAGCTTAAAGTATACTCTTAAAAGTATCAAGTACCCTTTATAAGGGTTTTTAGATAGTGTATGTTTTGTTAATTCAAATGACCACGAAAAGTAAACCTACGAAAATTCGTCACGACTGAGCGAATTTGAATTGTTCTACGCTTCGCTTTGCTCAACTAAAAGGATAATGCCATATCAAACACGGTACATATGTACGGCATGTCTGAACAGTACCCGTGTATGAGCAGTTCATTATTGATAATGGCAAATTCGTAAAGATTGAAGGTAACGCCTAAACCGTCACCTCACTGTGATTATGAATTGTATAATATTAATTTAATTACTTACGCGCATTAGACCATTTGTAGCTTAATCATGGAAAATCTGGAGCCCAATAGTTTAATTTATGAAGAATCTGACATTCCGAAATTTAGATGAAAGTAAACTGGTATTGAATATAAGCAATATTTTATAACGATTACTATGTTTCATACCTCAAATACAGTATTCTAAACCTAAAACGCTTTTTGTTGCGGAACATATGGATTATACTGAATGATTTATTTCAATACACCATGGCGTCTCTGGATTGAGCATAGACAAATGTAGTTCAAAAAGCCCGTAGAAACAACACTAGAATAGTTGACTTTAATATAGTGCACTCCGTTCGTTAACCTTATTATTTTGAATGTTTTACATGATATAATCGTCAACTTTTTATGTTATTTTTTGATATTCTTAATTTTTTTGCTGTGCGGTTTACACTTTCTTATTTATTACTACTCCTTATCGTTTATTTTGTTTCATACTAATAAAATGAAATAAGTTCTAATACTGTGTTTCTGGAGTTTTCATAAAATATCTATGCCAGAAGTTGCAGTTTATTAACCGCCAGTCTTGGTGAATCTGTAGTAGCGCAAATGGTAGACAGGTTGTACCATTCATACTGTCTAACTTAGCAATATCTTCATTGTATTTCAATTTAGTTAAATATTATTCCATAGGTGCAATTATATTTTTATTCCATTAATCCGCCCTCATGAACAGTCGCATGGACTGTTGAAGCTATTAATGGAGTCCGCACAGTTTTAAAGTTAAAAAAGAGTGTTTTCCCTTTTCAGGTATGGAGACTCACAAAATGTAAAGTCACCAAATATAAATTACAAGAGAATTGGTCATCTCAATTCCACTCGTTTAGTAAGAGATTCTGCTCATACCTTAATCGATTATTACTTTTCGTACGCAAACTTGCGCAGTACCAAGTCCAAACCACAGTTATTCAGACAATAGGTCAACAAATATTATTTCCGCCGTTCGTCTAAAACCAATTTATCGGATTATTCATGTGAAAATAATTAATAAACCTCCCACAAAGAATAATATTTTTGTATCAGATTTTACAATGTGTTTATTCCTAATGTACGAATTGTGTAGGCTTTCTGCTTACACTTGAAGCCTGTTCCTCTATTACTGCGCAGTATATTATGATGAATCATTGAGTGTGAACAGAATTACATTCTTACGGAAGATCTTGTCATAAGAATTAAAAAAAAATGTTCAGAAGAATACAAAAACATCGACAATGCAAAAATAACACACCCGGCTTTTCTGTATCAAAGTTTCAAGTCTAAATTTCACATGGACTCAGTTCGTTCAGTCAGTTGGCAATGCTTTACTTCAAGACTTCCGAAGCCAGATTTTGGTTTGGGATGATTATTCAGTAATGAAGCGGATTTGTTTCAGCAGATACAATATACATATTATGGGAAATTGTCATTATCTAAATTGAGTTGGTATATTTGAATAGGAACAATCGAGATTAAACAAAGCTTTTCATTCTTCTGGAATCCCTTTGTGAATAATCGTGTGTGATACACCTGGTATTTTGATATTCACCTAATCTAATCATGGGTATGTTCGATCACATGTAGTTAGGTACAAAAATTTGACAGCTCAGTAACCCAATATTTCGATATTTAAAATGACTTGTTCGGGCCATGCTTGGTGTGTACACACTATTTTCAAATGTACGAGTCATCACCCATAAACCTGTTTCTCGTGCTCTGCATGGGTCCAACAAACAGCCATTACAAATAGTGATAAGCAAAGCAATGACAAGCAGTCTGAATTAACAGATTTGTTGTTAACTTTTACTGTTATTTTCATTCTATAATTTGAAATAAATTTTCAGATACTCGATTTGCGTAACGTTAGTGATGGAAATCGATTGCCATCTGCAAGACAGTCATGTTTGACATTGCAAATTTATATGATGTTTTACATCGCTTTAGCAAAAACAGTAGTTATGACATAGCCTACCTAAATGCTTGCGATGTAGTGTATAGGAGAAATGAATTTCTTTGCTGGGATAAACCTGCGTGTTCACGAAATTACCTGTTTATTTTAACGATGGTTAGTTCTGAAGCCTATTGACGTAATTTTATGGGTTGTTTATCCGATATTATTGGAGATTAGGGAAATAATGAATGGCAATTTCATCGGTATTTTGTGATTCATTTATTCGATATGTCAGAAGATTTCGAAACCCAATTTTTACAACACAAATTATGGACGATAACATTTGTCGACAAAACCCAGCTACATAGCACAAAACATGAATTTCGACACACTACTACGTCGCCAACGAGAAAAAGATTCTTCCTAATTCGATTGCGAACAGCCTGAAACCGGGGTGCTCATTGCGCATTCGGTTATGATTATTTCACAATATTTTTTTTAACTTACAGATCGATTCTTTGAAGCGACTGATCCACCTCAATCAACTGTGCAGGCATCGTCGGAATATTCAGCTTCGGGGAATCTTATTGTACAGAAAAACAGAACCGTGGCCGAAGGAAAGAGAGGTCCAGCTACAAACATAACGGTACAAGAAAACTTCTGCTCATCCATACACGCTTTTCAGTGTCGGTCACGCCCGGGTGATTGTGTACCAAGAACCTTACTTTGTGATGGCTTTCCTGATTGCAAAGATGGATCGGACGAAGAACGTTGTGGTAAGTATTGGAAGCGGCAATAATTTTGTCTCTTTTCGTTGTAGCAATCGCAGTAATGCACGGAAGAGTTCGAGAACTTTTCGTATGTGAGCCAAATATTCGGTAAATCAAAATTACACAATCTATATAGCTAAACAATCATATTGCGGATGAAACGTCAATTTCAATCTTATTTTATAGATAGTCACTAAAATCCTCAAAATTACATATATAAACAAACAATTGTAAAATTCATTAAAATCGGGAAATGGAAAACAAAAAACGGGTATGAAAGCACGTACGTTATTAACGTTAACATACATTTACAGTTGCCAATTACCGGATTTGAAGCACTTTCTATAATTACATGTTTTGTGAAGCTTTAATTTACACTTTTTTAGGACTTCTCAAAGCAATTTAAATTGCCTGTAATTTTAGGCTAGTTCAGTCAGAAAGTATGTTTTAGTAAACAACGTGAAAATCGCCCGGTTTCTTATTCTACGTTGATGGAATAAATATTCTTTTTAAGATAAAGTACCCATACACTTTTGGACTGGCATAGAAGATTTTTTCTACCGCCTCAATATTTGATGTATGAATAATCATGACAGTTGCAGCTTACCTATGCTCATTTCTCCATCTTTATGTCGGCAGGGGTTTTCGGGCGATATCGCATGTTTGCATCTCTAATAAATAAACGCCAACAGAATAATTCTGGCTTTTCATGTGTTCTGTTATTGTGGCGAAAATATACTCATTTAATCTTTTTTCAGAATGCCAACAAAGTGGTGAATACTATTGCTTGAATGGTAATTGTGTCGACGCTTCTACACGATGTGACGGTGCCAACGATTGCGGAGACTTCAGCGACGAAATCCTCGGTTGTATTTTATTTCCTTCCAACGAACTCAAACTGGAGAAACTTACAAATGTACACGAAAGTGGAAAAGAGAATGGAGAGTCTATTCCTGATCCAGACCCAACACAGTCAGTAAAATATATCGGGCCAAAATCAACTATCATGTTATCGGAAAATGAGCCAGTAACAACCAGCAGCGATCAAATTGCACTACCATCCTTCACTGCCAGCGAAGTATCAAGAAACCAAGATCGTTCGTCAACCTCATTTGTCACTGAAGATGTCGATTTCCCAATATGTAGTTTACATCCATGCGCAAATGACGGAGATTGTTATGAGAACAAACACTCTTTCATCTGCGTATGCAAACCAGGATTCAAAGGTAATATCTTACGACTAAATAATATTTTTTAATACTTCCAAATTAAGAAAATAGGAAATTGTTGTAAATAGTGTACACCAGTGGTTTTCAACCTTTAATGGCTCGTGGCCCCCTTCCGGAGGCTTCTTGCACTCGTGCCCCCCCCCCCCCCCGTCCATCATTCTAGAAAAATTTACGTGTTAGCTTGTAATAGGTATTTACGACCTTTTATAGAATTTCAAAAACAAAGCACGGGCAAAAAAGTCAGGGCTTTTCAGTAAACAATCAATGGGAATCTTGCGCTTGGGACTGTCTAACTAGGTTCCCGTACATTTGAACCCACGACAATTGCACCTGTGGAAATTTTTTTGTTTTGCGGATATTTGAACCCATACTAACCCTGTCCCTAACCCATGGGTTTTAGCACCCGCATATAGATTGAACCCGCGGATATACACATGGGCTCAAATGTACGGTCACCGGTTCCTTATATTAAGCACCGTCTTTGATATAGGCAGGCGATTGTCACTTTCAACATCAGGGCGGTTCCTAGATTTTGCTTTGTTGGTAACAAGATCAGAAAAAAATAGATTCGCACAAATGGGTTGTAAATTGAACTAGCAATGATGATGCATTCTTACACGTAGTAGGTGGTAATGGCTTCTTTGCTTGATTTTAAAGCAATCATCGGCAGTCATGTCATCAATAAAGCCAACGTAACTGTCGTTCCCTTTTCGTATTTTGGGGATTGAGAATTCACATATAGGCTTCTGAAGTTATAATATGATATCGACGATTAGCTCGTATTCTAGCGAAACTGCCCGTTTGCAGGATAGACCGCCTACTGACAAACTATTCTGATTAGTAGATTCAAAATTCCATTATGATTAAACTATTCACACACACAAGAAAGTTACTACGTCTTGTGACTGAGGTAAACGGGTATGTGATTTTCAACGTTTTTTTTTACCAGGTCCAACTTGTCTCCAACGAGCTCCGATAATTTGCAAAAGAGGAGATCCTGCGTGTAACAGAGCTTTATCAACAACATTTTCGAATTTTATTTCAACTATTTTGTTATTAGTTTTTTCGTTTTTAATATCTTGCCTTTTGTCTTGAGTGATATGAAATTAGTCTAATATTGAACAAAAATGTTTTTTTTTCTTTTTATGCAATCATGAACGATAGCCGAATATTGTGGAACGCTGTTACATTTTTTTATGAGTCTCTACATAACAGTAAATGTTTATCATTGTGAAATCATAAAATGGGGATCATATAGACATTATAGAGTTAAGTCCAGGATATAGAAATGTTGATAAATTGCGAAATATAGCAACTTACTTTAATAGCATTTCAAATGGCCTCTTCGTTCAATATTCGTAATATATCACCGATTTCAAACGCAAAACAATTTTAGGTACAAGTTATATGTTTCATTGTGCTTTATTTATTAGTGCTTTTCATGCAACTTTTACTGCATGACAATCCAGTTACTTGTTTATCGTTTCTTTCTCCTTTTTATTGGTTTCAGAAATGCATATTACGAAATCTTCATTCTGACCTGAGGCTATAAAGTTTCGCTATATGTGATTTTCATTATTTGTTTAA